AGCCGGGGTGAATTTTATCCATGAATGAACAGCAGTTCGATATTTCATTAACAGTAGAGGAATATGTTCGTCCTAGTCTCGTCGATGTTCTTTTACGAACAATGATAGTTGATATTTCACTGTACGATTGTACTTTTCCACCATTCTATCTGATTCAGGGTGTAATGGAGTTGTCCTAGTTTTTACGATCTCCAATACTTACACATTTCTTTAAACAGAGCGGATTCAAAATTAGTTTCCTGGTCGGAATTTAGGTATAGCATTTGGTAGCTATATTAAATCTACAGAAGAAGTTGTCGCGTCCAGCCGCAAACGATGTCTTTTCAAAAAGAAATACAATAAACTCCCCCGCCCCCCATAGTTTGCTTCGAACATGCGCAGATATTAATTAACGCCTACATGTGCCTAACATACATTCACAACAGGGCCGGATTAACCTTTTGCGGGGCCCGTGGCATTTCTTTAGCGCAGGGCTCCTCAATTGCGTAAAGCATGCATCAAAGCGTTTTCTCAGGGTCGCCCAGAGAATTTTGAGGACCTGGGGCAAAATTCTCGTTCGGGGACCAAAATGCCGCTTTTCTGCCGTTCACTTCTTCACTAGAACTGGAGAGTGTTTCGCATTGATATTCTTTTTGCCTGCACCACTTTTCTCTGAGCCGTTGCATTACAATAAGTTGAGTAACACAAGTGAGAATTAGATTTTTATTAATTAATAAGATATATATTCTACCGTAGTTGTAAGTGCACGTGCTTTGAACAAGATTAATTCAGAATGTGTACAGCCTGACTACATTCTATCGTATTGATAAGTTTCTAAAAGTTTAAAGTATATTGGGTAGTGAGTGCATGATTAAAATATAATAGATATATATTGAATAGTCATGCATGTTCAAATGATGAAGAAAGACTATCATAGTTCATTGCAGTCAAAACAACTCTAAGAGTGAACATATGTTTTAATCTAATATATTAAATACATGCATGCATATAATGATATCTAAATATGATATATATGAGGGATACACTGTGTGCAAACTATTTAAAACACTTTGCTAATATATAAACATAGTTTCTCGTAACTCAAGTGCAGATGATATAAAAGTCTTGACGCATATCCAGAGCAGCCTGGCAATTTTCAAACGGACATTTCACACGATCTAGCTGTGTTCCGCAATATGCACAATCATGTAGCCCCGACACACATCCAGAGGAAGAAACGTTAAATCCAGCTCGTTCCACGATCGATCCAGGCAAAATAACCCTGTCATAAGTTGTTGCGTTATATTTCCAAGAACACGCATCCAATTTCGTAGAAATTTGTCTTGACGCGTAAGGTTGGCGTGAATAACTTTTGCAGAACATTTTGTATTCTTGACACCAATTTTCAGTTTTTGATTGTTTGTGTAAAGGGATTTTGACTTGAGCGACCAAAAATGACGCCTCAAGCCAGACATTCCGTACCTGTTGGGTTTCAAAATTCGTCTTCACTTCTTCATCCAATGAAGCACATATTGCGTAGAATACTCTGCGCTGATTGGCTAAACACGATTCACAATGTGGCGTCTTGAAAACTCTGCTACAATTCTGAGAGCTGCATGCTCGTAGAGAATAAATATCATTTTTAGTCGCGTTCTGAAAACCAGCAAGATGGACAACATTTAGCAAGGAGAGAGTGCTGGATCTCTCTAGATCATAAATACTGGAGTACTCTATACTGCATTCACGATGTGATTGGTCAGTTAAAGGCCTCAGGTTATGCGCATGGCATAACCGTTCGTAGTCACGACACCAGCTTTCAAATCTCGATAAACGGTGCTCTGGAATGCGGACTTTCACGACTGCATACATCGTGTCATTTGAAATCACTGTCTTGTTTTCAAGGACATAGAAGTTTGAAGTGGGAGTGTTCTCAACACACAGTCCGTGAATCTTCTGAGATTCGCTGTTGAGGCAAAGCAATGAATCACTGCAGTTGTATGAAAACGGGCTACTTTGACAGCTTTCCTGCGAGCAATCTTTGAATGCAAATGTGTTTCCATATGCAGCCTCGTTGTAGCCTGTCTGCTGAGCAATGTGATGTATCACATCAAATTCAGATTTCTGTATAACAGCATCGTGCTCATCACGACATTGAAGAAGAGATTCGGTTACCACACCAGAGTGAAGAGCAACAGGACTTTGCCCAATAGCATGACAGAGCTCCGTATAATCCCGACACCACGTCGACGATCTACGCTCGGGTTGTAACGCTGATACGACTGTGTAGACATCGCCAGAGATGGAGATTTTCTGTGAATCCATTATTTTGAAATTTAACGTTTCGTCTGTGCAAATTGCGTAGACATAATCAGTAGGGTTTGAATTAACACAGGATAATGATGCATCACACCCAGATGATGCCAGCTCTTTTGAACAACTCTCACAATTGTTTAAGATGAACGTGTTGCTTTGGTCTGCCTTAGAGTATCCAGCCTGTAAGGCGATATTTGAGATGGTTTTTGTATCACACGAAAACTTGAAGTCTTCAGCAGCATATTTTCTGGTGCATTCTTGATAGTTGTTTTGACAGGCTAAAGGTCTTTTATTGTAGCTTTTACATAAGTCTTTATACTCTTGACACCAGGAAACCGACTTTGCGCGGCCGTCTTTAGGCAGTTTGGCTTCGATGATTAAATAGTTAGTGGAGTTAAGAACAGTAACTTTTGTACTGCGGACGTTGAACGCCGTCGTTGGTTTAACACACACTGTGTATACTTGTCGTCGCCAAGCTATTTTGGTCAGGCAGTTCAAAGCACCATTGCATTCGCTGGTTAGATCCTTTGTACACTGATGACAGTTCTGGAAAACAAAGGTGTTTCTTGATATCGCATCTTTAAATCCTGCCTTGTTTGCGATGCCGATGACGACCGTCGTATCTCCACAACGAAGAATATCGTTTTCTGGCATATAAGAGCTGTATTGTGTACTACAGGATGAATAATTTGAGTGCTCGGCATTAGATCCTCCACAACTGGTCGGCAGCATATTATAGCTTACACAAAGTTCTCTGTAATCGTGACACCATGGTCGTATTTAGTGTTTTTGAAAATGTTTTGAAAACATTTTTTATTAAAATGTTTTGTTTATTTTGTTTTAGTATACGCCGTTTTCCTGCGGACTCGACCATGGTCGAATAAGCTGTTTTCCGGCGCACTCGACTATGATCGAGTAAGCCATTTTTCGGCACATTGAACCATGGCCGAACGCCGCTTTCCGGCGGACTCGACCGCGGTCGAATAAGCCGTTTTCCGACCGACTCGACCATGGTCGATATAAAACGCGCTTGTTTTTGGGTTAAAATTTTGCTCCGACAATTTTGGGTATTTTGATGGTAGATAGCGTTCCAGCTGTTTTGAGTTCAACGGTCCGAACACGACAAGTCTTTTTGGCAGGGGGGAGTGAGAACTCTAAAGTCTAAACGAAACAAAATGTCTGCCGAAAACAGGCTTTTGTCAAAGTTTAGTGTTCTTCCTGTGGACAAATTCGAGGGAGAATGTCCTTATTTCCGACAACCGAAGCAAGTGGGTTGCTTCTCTTTAGACGAGCAACGAAGATTTCTGGACAACGACAGTCGGCTAAGGTATTACAACCCACCAGAATTTGTGAACTTTGATCTAGGAGTGGGATATGAGGATTTTATACGCAGAGACGAAGATAAGAAAGATAGACTGGATGACATGTTAACGTGGGTTAAAAAGCACCCTGAGAAGTTTGCATTGAGTGGAAATACCTCGAAAAACGACGGCAGGTATAAAAGACTTGCTATATTAAAATTATTAAAGTGACAAAAGTTGATGAAAATTGTAAAGGCAGTCTCGTATAATTGTATCAGTTTTCGTCAACTTTAGTCTTTAGACTGGGGGTATAGACCTTTCTTATAATGACGTCAAACGCGGAAAGTCTGATGTTACACGAAATTTGACTGGCTCCTCAAAACTATCGGGCCAATCAAACTTTGTGTAACATCACAGAGTTTCAGCGTTTGAGGTCATTATGAAAAAGATCTATTCTGTTAATACCATGTTACGTAACCCATAAGTTAGTATACTCTCACTTCTCAATTAGTCTGCATACAGATTTTATCACATGGAGAGGACACATGACCAAGCTCCTGTGTACCCCTTATGAGAGAAAGGAACCATGGCAAATGGCTCTGGCCTTGCACAAAGGCACAATTTATATGAGCGAAGTTGAAACGAACGAAGCACGCCATCGTAGGCTGGACCAATCGGAACGTCAGGACAAAATGTGTTACTGGGGTTACAAGTTTGAGGATTACGTCACTTGTTCCAGGGAGCCATCAAAACCGAAGGAATTTAGCTCGCCCATAAACAACATTGAAGCATTCTGTTCGGTTGTGAGATCACGGTTGGATAAACACTCTTTGGTCTTTGGAGCCGAGGTTGACTGTTGTGTCAAAACTAATTCTAAAGGTGGGATGCCACCATCTAATTATATTGAATTGAAAACAAGCAGGATTGTTGAGAACGACCGGATGCAGTGGTCATTTGAACGATACAAGCTTTTGAAATGGTGGGCACAGTCTTTTTTAGCCGGCATTCCTAAAATCGTTTGCGGATTTCGTGATGACGATGGCTTTGTTAAGCAGCTCAAGACATTCAATACGCTAGACATTCCAGGATCGGTTGCGGAAAGTCAGAACATGTGGGCAGGTAGCGTGTGTTTGAATTTTTGTAATCGGATGTTGGAATGGGTGAAAGGTGCCGTAAAAGATGAGAATGTTGTGTACATGTTACATTGGAGAGAACCATTCACGCACATAGAACTGGAGTTGTCAAAGAAACAAGATGACATCTTTCTACGGGACTGGTATCTCTCATGAAGAATCTACCCTCATGTATATATATTTGAGACCAGAATTTTTTAAGGTTACGAATTTTAAGATATTTAAATGAATATAATGATAGTGACAGTGTTTTGTGTCAATAAATTATTCTTAATATAATTGGGAAATTAGATTACACCTGTAAATATTTGTCATTCAAAATGTAAACATATTTAATCATTCTGTATTCATGTACACTCTTAAATTTTGTTCCCATCGTTTGTCTTTCTCTTGTTTTTGAATAAGATTTCTCTTCCAGGTTCTTCGGGGGGCTCTCAACCCTGTGCTTGCCCCCGCATCCTTTTTCCCTTTCACAGCGCTCGTATCTCTTGCTGAGAAATGAGTGATCTTTGCTTTTTCTTTGTTTTTGCTGCCTAAGCCCTGGCGATCTTGCTTCAAAATTGTTTTCACAGGAAACTTACGGCCAGCTCCTTCCGGGCCAAGACCTTAAATGAATGTTGGAAACAACAACAAAACAGTAAGTGTTAATTTCTGCTAAATTTAAGATGAAAAAGGGGGAAAATGTCCTCTTACGCACAGCTAGTGGACTGATTAAAGTATTAAGACTAATATTTTCAACCTTGTTCTTTATCCCATCCCTTCTGTTTCATCAATTTGAATCCAATGTTAGTTTCAGGAATGTGATAGAGTGTTCGTTCTGACTTGTATTGGCAGTTAAACAAATGAGCTGTTGATGTATTGTGCTCATTCTTCGAGCCAAAGAAAGTGGTTGCACAAATGTCACAGGTATGTTCAGTGGAAGTTGTGAGTTCAGCATTATCTGACTTTTGTTTTCGTCTGGATTTTCTAAGGCGGTCAAACAACCTACGAACACCAGAATGCTTTGCAATGTCCCGAGCAGTTTCACCCTTGCTGTTTTGCAATTTGACATCAGCACCTTCTTTAAGGAGTAGCTTGATGCAAGTTCTATGACCGCTTCTTGCCGAACACATCAAAGCCGTCCAACCAAATTGATCCTTGGCATTTATATCAACTTTTTTGTCCCGAATGATTTCTTGTAATCCACTAAGGTCTCCCTCTTGTGCCATTCTAAGAAATGAATTCACTTGTCTAATGGTACATCTATCAGTCAAATTCCATTTTGTTTTATTGTTTTCAGAAGGCGTATTTACATCCGTTGTTTTCCTTTTAAAACGTTTTTCCACTTCAATATCTGCCTTATTTACTCTCTTAGCATTTCTCACACAAGTTTCGTTTTTTTCCATAAGCAAACTTTCGTAAAATTCCTTGGCTTCAACCCCAGATAAACCTCCGTTATCATTCAATGAGGTATCGCTCTTCTTCACCGCACTAAAGGTCTCCAAATTCGACGAAGCCCGCTGAAATTTTACCGAAGGATACATCAATCCTCCCTTTTTGCGTTTCATTACGATAAGTCGTGTTTGGTAGCCGAGAAACCCTTCAAAATCAAACTTTTCGATATGTTTACAAAAATTCCACTCCTGAAGAAAAGGCCATTTTGTTATCGGAGGAGAGAAGTTGTGAATTCCTTTTGACCGAAGATTGAGATTTCCTTGATTTTCTTCATCAAAAAAGTTAGAATATTGGAGATTGTTTTGCGATATTCTCTTTTTTAAGGAAAATGATAAGATTTCCTGTTGCTTCGTAGACAGGTCGTTCACGTTCGTAATGGTGCTTCCTGTGATGGTGCTAAAAATCAATTCTTTGAAAAGAGGTCGAACGTGGCAGTTATTGAGGCGTCACAATTTGTGTTCATAACCACAGAAATAACCACGACTCATTCTCATACCCAGAGCCCTTCTTAGTTACGCGCCGTCTGTCTAAAGCAATATGGCGGACAATGCCAGTTCAAGGGTGAATATTGACAACATTAAAGTAAAGGTTTTGGGAGAAAAGAAAGGGAGATACGATTTGGATAGTTTGCCAAGGCTAAAATACAAAAAAAGAGATAAACCCAAGTATAAGAGAAGAACGAAAGCAAAAGTCGTTTTAAATTTATACAGTGAACTGAGTGAAGTAAACGAACCCAGCGATTTAGATGTTGAGACTACTGAAAAGGAAGCTATTGTAGCAGGTTGTGATCAAAATATTGACAAAATCGTCCGTGACCACCAAAATACCTATGCTGATGTTACCGACACGCTTGAGGTATTAATTACAACGAGTACTTCACAAACACGTAGTATTTACATGTACAAATGTTCAGCAAACTCCAGGGCAGGCTATATTATCGATCACAAATCAAATAATCAATCCCACATTGCAGAGTTGGCCAACGCCGCACCCGAGATTTTTGATGAGGAAAATTTTAGTGCACTTAGGGTGTGCTTGATAGCAATTTTGATACTTTAATCAGCCTAAAAAACTCTTATTTCCATTGCATTTAACATTTTCAAAGTGTCTATATTACTGCCAGTCGGTCAGTAGTTTTGTGCTTCAAAATTTTTTCACTATTTGATTCATTTTTACGAATGCTTTTAGCGACGGTTGGTTCTCGTGGCGTAGTGGTCATTGTGCTTGCTTCGCATGCGTATGGTCTGGGTTTGAACCCTGTTCAGATATTTTTATTAAGAAAATTTTCAAACTATTTTTTCTGAGTGAATTTCTCATTCTAAACTTAGGTTAGCTTTAGGGTTAGATTTATGGTTAGGGTTAAAATTTGGGATTGGTTTGGGGCTTGTTTTATACAAAAAAGTTCAATATTATAGACTGCCGGTCACTTAGTTTCTTCAAAACATTGTCCAGCTGCCGGTCATATAGACACTTCGTAACATGTTCCCCCTCACTTTACCAGACTGCAAGTTTTATTTTCTTGCAGGAAATTTTAGGGTTATGTTTTGCAACTACGCAGAAATTATAGGAGAACGTACTGAATAAATGAAAAATTATTACATATTGGTACCCAATGTTGGGGAAATACAGTATATTTACCATGTTATTGAAAATTTTTTTAATGCATGTGGTTCTTTATTCTTTCATAAGGATATTTATTAAATATTTTTATAGGATATCACTTCAAGTGATTTATTACACTACTCTCAACCCATGGATACTTCACAAGCAGTTGTTTGTCAAATAAGTCACCAGGATACTTATGTTGTTGAAGTATGTAGATCAAATGCTTTACTACCTGTCAATACAATGCTAACTGCTTTTGTACTTCAAGACTATGATGAGTTATTAAGACAGTTAAAGGTACTGTATTATATTATAATAATAATATATATAATATATAAGCAATTGTTGTACAATTGGTTCTTTAGTTAAATGCCTAAAACAGATAAGAAAACATCTCAACATTTTGACCTAAGGGCCTTCGTGTAGGAACTAGTGTGGAAAAGCTGTCATCAATCTATAACATAAACTTGATGTATGATTAAGTTGATTTCCTTACAGTAATATCGTGAAAAGAGGTGCCAGACAAAAGATGTTTGCATGCATTTTTTTTAGCCTGTGTGCTCTTTCTGGAAAAAATGGGGTAAAATGGGCAAATCTTCTATAGCATGATTGTGACGTTAATTATATTTCTCTATTTCTAGAGTAAAGATTTTCTTTTAATTCGGAGAAGTTTGCACCATTTCATCAATGGAACTGTGAATTGGGTGTATCAATGTTCATGTAATCCTGCCAGGAGTAAAATAATAAACTCACTTCACATCAGTATTAAAGAACATTACAATCAACGTAAGTGCTTATTTGGTCTGACGTGATTGAAAGTGACCTGAAATTGACTCTAAATACCCTTACAACTTAGTGCCACTTATTAGTATGTAGTTATGAAGTTGTTTGGGTGAAGTGAAAGTTTGATCTCAGGTTTGAACTTCAAACACATCTATTAAATGTTTCATTGGCATGGATTAGTGAAATATAATTTACTTTTTGAAGAGCTCACTTGTTGAACGAATATGAGCAAATAGTTCAGATCCAGGGAATAAAATTATGACAAACCATTATAAACTCTTAACTTTTATCCTATTCAAATATACTCTCATTAAAACATTAATTATTAGCATATACTTTAGGAACTATTAACCATTTTTTTCTTAATTTACTAAATGATAGAACTATTGGCTGACAATCCAGCATGTGTACATTGCTTGGTGACTGAGCGTATTTTAGACAGCCTTGAATGTTTTAATGGCAGTCTTCCATTTCCTATTGATCCAGAAGGTACAGTATATATATAAATATATATATAAAATTATGTTTAAATGTGGCATTGTTAAAGCTAATTCTAGCATATCTATTTTTTAACATTAACTCTGTTTAGAAAGTGACCCTTCATCAATGGACCATGACTATCTTGTGAGTATGGCTTAAATTTCATGCAAATTTACTTATTAAGGCTTTCATTGTTGAGAATTATTGATACAGCTTTGCTAGCATTTTAAATTGGCCTTAACTGGTCACATAATTTTGCTGTTTTGCTAGGTGTCCTTTGTCTATAAATGCTTTTTATTTCGTTCGTCAGGAACATTACCAGTCTTACAACGTTTTCCATTTGCCGTCAGTTGAAGTAGTTTGCGTATATGCTGAGCGTGATTACGGGTTTGTTGGCATAGATCATAAGGGTTTCAAGTGCTCCACATGCAATTATGATACACATGCTTGTAGTCACATCAAATTTCTGGAAGAAAAACTCAGTCAGGATGATGTTGATTTGCCTGACATTGTGTATGAAATGTATCACCAAGCAAAAAAGCAGCGGAAAGTTAATTGGAAACCTTATTGCCTATCCGATAAATCCATACAGTTCCAGCCACCAGTACACCTTCAACAGATATTTGGTAGTTCGTTTTACCAATCCCTACCACAGGAAAATGGAACATTGCATGTTGTCCCACGTAGTAGCGGAGTATGTGAAAGTTGCGGTTCCTACTGGAGTTTGCAAAACCCTGTCGAAGAAAATTGGATAGAGAAACTTCTTCTCCTTTATACAATGAATAAAGTTATCCGTGCACCAGTATGTATGCTCCCACCCTACTTCACTTTTGTTTGCATACACTGTACATGTATGTTTGTATGTTTGTATGTTTGTATGTTTATTGTATTCAAATCATTTCCGAAGAGAGTGTTTTACGCAAACTTAAGTAGCCAACATGCAACGGCTCTTTTGTTGGTGTAAATTTTATTTTTAAAATCTTTGGCTTAAATTTCATGCAAATCTACTTATCAAGGCTTTCAGGGTTGATAAATTATTGATACAGTTACTGTATGCTACACAATTAATCAGCTATTATTCAAAGGCTTTGAGACGTTGGGGGGGGGGGGCATTTGCCCCAATTCTCCTGCTTTCCCTTGTGTTCGCCGCTGGTGTTTGAAAAGCTATACTATGCATGGGTTTTCAATGTATTTGCCATACCGGCGTTTCTCTTTGTTTCAGTATTTTATTCAAGATGTTCAAATGATGATTGTGAGAACAAATTGATGGTTGGTGGTGAAGAAATTGGAGTCATCAACATGAAAAATTATTTGATTGCCCACGAAGTTCTTAGAGACTATATGTATCACTTCTTGTATGCAAGGTTTGCCGACATACTATACAGTAACGATGCTGTTCAATGTTCCTCTTATCTAAATGAAATGACTGCATTTTGTTAACGTGATCAAATAAATCCGTTGTGTTTCATTTTTTTGCTACTGCTTTAGTTGTAGTTTGTACGCCTATTTTGAAGTGTGGACCTCTCGGATGCAGGATGCTGATCCATCTCTTTGTGAATACCCATCATATAACCAACTACGTTATGCTTGGTATTCATATCTGAAGTTGACATTGATTACTCCGATGGGAGTTGTTGCCCAGTGTGTGGTCCTACGCCTGAAACAGTTGTGTGTGATGCCACCACAGTTTCGTTTCGACGTAAGATGGTACTACAAGAGAACATTGTCAACCCAACTGCCGAAAACATACACGAAGGAAGATAAGTATTTTATCTTTCACTTACACGTAGATAAAGGTAAATTTTAAAAAGAAAAAATGAGAATGGTTTCAAAAAATACAGTTCACTGTAGGAAATAACTTTAAAATCTACGATAAAACGTGGGACGAAACGTTTAAGTTCTTTTTTATAATTTAATGTGGTAGAATTGTCTACAGTGCTCGTGCTTTAAATAATTTACCGAAACTGACATCTACGATTTATATTTGCACATTTTAATACCTCGACGAGCTACTCTTGCGTGTATGTCTTAAAACGTTTACGCGCAGTTTTGTTATATCGTGATTCCTATTTCATACGGTCATCCTTTATTTCTGTGTAGAAAATAGAACAATACTGTATGAAGTAGCATAAAAATTTTATATTTATTCATATAATTTTTTTTACCTTCTATACTAGTTACAGAAGCTGTGTAATGATACCGACCAAAGCGTGCCGAATGCTTCTTCATCAGTTTATTTCTAGAGGCCAATTATCGACGACTGAAATGGAGAGCCTTCGTGAAATGTTACTTACCGCCTGTCCGTCTATTATTCCGTTTTTGGATTGGTTGACACGTGCTTATGACGATGTCAGTGAATCTCCACGTTCAGTTAAGATTCTTGTTAAGGCATTTGCCGCGAGTTCATCTGTATGTGGTTTTGTTCATCCATCTGAGACACTTCACACATTGTTGAACGAGATCGTTGGAGGACTCATTATCTCGCAGCATCCAAGCAAATTAGAATTACTGCAAGAAGAGTGCCCGTTGCTGTTCAATGCCTTTTCAGATATTGAGGAATCAACCTTCCCTAGAAGTTGGTACCCTATTTTAACGGATCTGATTAAGAAATCCTCGGAGCCATTTTCCACTGCGTCTTCATCATCACCACCACCTGTTTCTTCGGAACAACCATCAGGGCATCCACAAGAAATCGCATTCTTCCCTAATCTTCCAATTATTCGATCCAGAGGAGTGTATGCAGCAGATAAATACAGGAGAAGAGAGGATATCTGCACCAAGAATCATCCATCACATTCTTTGTTTTTACCTGGACTTTTCACCATTTTCTGTCCACATGGTAAATCATATAATTTTGTATTGCGTATTTTAACATTAAAACAACTTACTACTGTAGTAAGTGTGTATATAGTTGTGTAGATACATTTACGTACAATTTATCCTCTTTTTTTATTATTTCAGGAATAAACTATGGATTTGAAGTCATGCAAACCCGAGAATCTCCAAATGTTCCTTTCACGATATTTCGTACTCGTTTCCAGAATGGTTAGTCTTATCCAAATTAGTGATCCAAAAATCCGGGTTATAACAGAAAGTAATATGAGGAAGCAATCACGACAAACACCCTGACAAATAGGTCTTTAATTTTTAGCACCCAAAGTTATTGTGTACGACAACGCCTGCAATCTACACAGCTATTGCCTCAACAGGGACCCAGATTACTTCAAAAAAACAAAGTTTTTGGTCGATCGTTTTCACTGGAAGAATCATAGCGGTAAAATATTTTCAATTTATACGGTGTTTTCACATGGGTAGGCATTACTGAACACAAGTATAATTTTAAATATTTATTACGTCGCAGGTTGCTCTGAAGGATACAATATTGGTTCTTACCCTCAGTATGCAATGCTGAACAGTGAAGTGAATGAACAGGCGAACGCAACCTTAAAGCGTCTTCGAAATCAGCTGTCTTACATGACGCAGGATAACTTTGTCAGTCATTGCAAATTTCATTTCTGGTTTAGAAACAACAAAGCTATCCAACGCCTAATGTCAACCACGTAGTACGTATATTACGTGTCATTGAAACATCAACACTATCAGATGATATATTGAAAGTTTTTCTCTGATAACTTTCATTTGTCTGAGGTTTTAAATGGTTAAGAAATGGTAGCATGGTTGCCGTGTACAGGTTCAATTCCTGTATGCCATTAACCTAAAGTAAGCATACAGTACATTCCACCATGCATAGGTTATCACTAAGCAGGTTATGACAAATCATGTAAAAATTTTCTCAATATTAAGCTTAACGAAAGGTCCCAATTATTGATGTCTATAACCTTATAATTCCATGCCTTGGTTATCATGTCAAAAATTTTGTCAACATAACCACGTTTCTTCTTTTTACAAAAGTTTAAGTCAGAAATATCATACACCTGCAAAGGCTGCGATGGTTGATGTCTATAATCTTATATAACCATGCCGTGGTTATCATGTCAAAAATTTTGTCAACATAACCACGTTTCTTCTTTTTACAAAAGTTTAAGTCAGAAATATCATACACCTGCAAAGGCTGCGATGGTTGATGTCTATGTATAACGTGGTTATGTTGACAAAATTTTTGACATGATAACCACGGCATGGTTATATAAGATTATAGACATCAACCATCGCAGCCTTTGCAGGTGTATGATATTTCTGACTTAAACTTTTGTAAAAAGAAGAAACGTGGTTATGTTGACAAAATTTTTGACATGATAACCACGGCATGGTTATATAAGATTATAGACATCAACCATCGCAGCCTTTGCAGGTGTATGATATTTCTGACTTAAACTTTTGTAAAAAGAAGAAACGTGGTTATGTTGACAAAATTTTTGACATGATAACCACGGCATGGTTATATAAGATTATAGACATCAACCATCGCAGCCTTTGCAGGTGTATGATATTTCTGACTTAAACTTTTGTAAAAAGAAGAAACGTGGTTATGTTGACAAAATTTTTGACATGATAACCACGGCATGGTTATATAAGATTATAGACATCAACCATCGCAGCCTTTGCAGGTGTATGATATTTCTGACTTAAACTTTTGTAAAAAGAAGAAACGTGGTTATGTTGACAAAATTTTTGACATGATAACCAAGGCATGGTTATATAAGATTATAGACATCAACCATCGCAGCCTTTGCAGGTGTATGATATTTCTGACTTAAACTTTTGTAAAAAGAAGAAACGTGGTTATGTTGACAAAATTTTTGACATGATAACCACGGCATGGTTATATAAGATTATAGACATCAACCATCGCAGCCTTTGCAGGTGTATGATATTTCTGACTTAAACTTTTGTAAAAAGAAAAACGTGGTTATGTTGACAAAATTTTTGACATGATAACCACGGCATGGTTATATAAGATTATAGACATCAACCATCGCAGCCTTTGCAGGTGTATGATATTTCTGACTTAAACTTTTGTAAAAAGAAGAAACGTGGTTATGTTGACAAAATTTTTGACATGATAACCAGGCATGGTTATAGATTATAGACATCAAGCAGCCTTTGCAGGTGTATGATATGACTTAATTTGTAAAAGACGTTATGACTTACATCGTAATTGGTTATAGACATTAATTTTCGTTAAGCAATATGAGAAAATTTTTACATGATTTGTCATAACCTGCTTAGTGATAACCTATGCATGGTGGAATGTACTGTATGCTTACTTTAGGTTAATGGCATACAGGAATTGAACCTGTACACGGCAACCATGCTACCATTTCTTAACCATTTAAAACCTCAGACAAATGAAAGTTATCAGAGAAAAACTTTCAATATATCATCATTGATAGTGTTGATGTTTCAATGACACGTAATATACGTACTACGTGGTTGACATTAGGCGTTGGATAGCTTGTTGTTTCTAAACCAGAAATGAAATTTGCAATGACTGACAAAGTTATCCTGCGTCATGTAAGACAGCTGATTTCGAAGACGCTTTAAGGTTGCGTTCGCCTGTTCATTCACTTCACTGTTCAGCATTGCATACTGAGGGTAAGAACCAATATTGTATCCTTCAGAGCAACCTGCGACGTAATAAATATTTAAAATTATACTTGTGTTCAGTAATGCCTACCCATGTGAAAACACCGTATAAATTGAAAATATTTTACCGCGATGATTCTTCCAGTGAAAACGATCGACCAAAAACTTTGTTTTTTTGAAGTAATCTGGGTCCCTGTTGAGGCAATAGCTGTGTAGATTGCAGGCGTTGTCGTACACAATAACTTTGGGTGCTAAAAATTAAAGACCTATTTGTCAGGGTGTTTGTCGTGATTGCTTCCTCATATTACTTTCTGTTATAACCCGGATTTTTGGATCACTAATTTGGATAAGACTAACCATTCTGGAAACGAGTACGAAATATCGTGAAAGGAACATTTGGAGATTCTCGGGTTTGCATGACTTCAAATCCATAGTTTATTCCTGAAATAATAAAAAAAGAGGATAAATTGTACGTAAATGTATCTACACAACTATATACACACTTACTACAGTAGTAAGTTGTTTTAATGTTAAAATACGCAATACAAAATTATATGATTTACCATGTGGACAGAAAATGGTGAAAAGTCCAGGTAAAAACAAAGAATGTGATGGATGATTCTTGGTGCAGATATCCTCTCTTCTCCTGTATTTATCTGCTGCATACACTCCTCTGGATCGAATAATTGGAAGATTAGGGAAGAATGCGATTTCTTGTGGATGCCCTGATGGTTGTTCCGAAGAAACAGGTGGTGGTGATGATGAAGACGCAGTGGAAAATGGCTCCGAGGATTTCTTAATCAGATCCGTTAAAATAGGGTACCAACTTCTAGGGAAGGTTGATTCCTCAATATCTGAAAAGGCATTGAACAGCAACGGGCACTCTTCTTGCAGTAATTCTAATTTGCTTGGATGCTGCGAGATAATGAGTCCTCCAACGATCTCGTTCAACAATGTGTGAAGTGTCTCAGATGGATGAACAAAACCACATACAGATGAACTCGCGGCAAATGCCTTAACAAGAATCTTAACTGAACGTGGAGATTCACTGACATCGTCATAAGCACGTGTCAACCAATCCAAAAACGGAATAATAGACGGACAGGCGGTAAGTAACATTTCACGAAGGCTCTCCATTTCAGTCGTCGATAATTGGCCTCTAGAAATAAACTGATGAAGAAGCATTCGGCACGCTTTGGTCGGTATCATTACACGGCTTCTGTAACTAGTATAGAAGGTAAAAAAAATTGTATGAATAAATATAAAATTTTTATGCTACTTCATACAGTATTGTTCTATTTTCTACACAGAAATAAAGGATGACCGTATGAAATAGGAATCACGATATAACAAAACTGCGCGTAAACGTTTTAAGACATACACGCAAGAGTAGCTCGTCGAGGTATTAAAATGTGCAAATATAAATCGTAGATGTCAGTTTCGGTAAATTATTTAAAGCACGAGCACTGTAGACAATTCTACCACATTAAATTATAAAAAAGAACTTAAACGTTTCGTCCCACGTTTTATCGTAGATTTTAAAGTTATTTCCTACAGTGAACTGTATTTTTTGAAACCATTCTCATTTTTTCTTTTTAAAATTTACCTTTATCTACGTGTAAGTGAAAGATAAAACTTATCTTCCTTCGTGTATGTTTTCGGCAGTTGGGTTGACAATGTTCTCTTGTAGTACCATCTTACGTCGAAACGAAACTGTGGTGGCATCACACACAACTGTTTCAGGCGTAGGACCACACACTGGGCAACAACTCCCATCGGAGTAATCAATGTCCAACAACTTCAGATATGAATACCAAGCATAACGTAGTTGGTTATATGATGGGTATTCACAAAGAGATGGATCAGCATCCTGCATCCGAGAGGTCCACACTTCAAAATAGGCGTACAAACTACAACTAAAGCAGTAGCAAAAAAATGAAACACAACGGATTTATTTGATCACGTTAACAAAATGCAGTCATTTCATTTAGATAAGAGGAACATTGAACAGCATCGTTACTGTATAGTATGTCGGCAAACCTTGCATACAAGAAGTGATACATATAGTCTCTAAGAACTTCGTGGGCAATCAAATAATTTTTCATGTTGATGACTCCAATTTCTTCACCACCAACCATCAATTTGTTCTCACAATCATCATTTGAACATCTTGAATAAAATACTGAAACAAAGAGAAACGCCGGTATGGCAAATACATTGAAAACCCATGCATAGTATAGCTTTTCAAACACCAGCGGCGAACACAAGGGAAAGCAGGAGAATTGGGGCAAATGCCCCCCCCCCCCAACGTCTCAAAGCCTTTGAATAATAGCTGATTAATTGTGTAGCATACAGTAACTGTATCAATAATTTATCAACCCTGAAAGCCTTGATAAGTAGATTTGCATGAAATTTAAGCCAAAGATTTTAAAAAATAAAATTTACACCAACAAAAGAGCCGTTGCATGTTGGCTACTTAAGTTTGCGTAAAACACTCTCTTCGGAAATGATTTGAATACAATAAACATACAAACATACAAACATACAAACATACATGTACAGTGTATGCAAACAAAAGTGAAGTAGGGTGGGAGCATACATACTGGTGCACGGATAAACTTTATTCATTGTATAAAGGAGAAGAAGTTTCTCTATCCAATTTTCTTCGACAGGGTTTTGCAAACTCCAGTAGGAACCGCAACTTTCACATACTCCGCTACTACGTGGGACAACATGCAATGTTCCATTTTCCTGTGGTAGGGATTGGTAAAACGAACTACCAAATATCTGTTGAAGGTGTACTGGTGGCTGGAACTGTATGGATTTATCGGATAGGCAATAAGGTTTCCAATTAACTTTCCGCTGCTTTTTTGCTTGGTGATACATTTCATACACAATGTCAGGCAAATCAACATCATCCTGACTGAGTTTTTCTTCCAGAAATTTGATGTGACTACAAGCATGTGTATCATAATTGCATGTGGAGCACTTGAAACCCTTATGATCTATGCCAACAAACCCGTAATCACGCTCAGCATATACGCAAACTACTTCAACTGACGGCAAATGGAAAACGTTGTAAGACTGGTAATGTTCCTGACGAACGAAATAAAAAGCATTTATAGACAAAGGACACCTAGCAAAACAGCAAAATTATGTGACCAGTTAAGGCCAATTTAAAATGCTAGCAAAGCTGTATCAATAATTCTCAACAATGAAAGCCTTAATAAGTAAATTTGCATGAAATTTAAGCCATACTCACAAGATAGTCATGGTCCATTGATGAAGGGTCACTTTCTAAACAGAGTTAATGTTAAAAAATAGATATGCTAGAATTAGCTTTAACAATGCCACATTTAAACATAATTTTATATATATATTTATATATATACTGTACCTTCTGGATCAATAGGAAATGGAAGACTGCCATTAAAACATTCAAGGCTGTCTAAAATACGCTCAGTCACCAAGCAATGTACACATGCTGGATTGTCAGCCAATAGTTCTATCATTTAGTAAATTAAGAAAAAATGGTTAATAGTTCCTAAAGTATATGCTAATAATTAATGTTTTAATGAGAGTATATTTGAATAGGATAAAAGTTAAGAGTTTATAATGGTTTGTCATAATTTTATTCCCTGGATCTGAACTATTTGCTCATATTCGTTCAACAAGTGAGCTCTTCAAAAAGTAAATTATATTTCACTAATCCATGCCAATGAAACATTTAATAGATGTGTTTGAAGTTCAAACCTGAGATCAAACTTTCACTTCACCCAAACAACTTCATAACTACATACTAATAAGTGGCACTAAGTTGTAAGGGTATTTAGAGTCAATTTCAGGTCACTTTCAATCACGTCAGACCAAATAAGCACTTACGTTGATTGTAATGTTCTTTAATACTGATGTGAAGTGAGTTTATTATTTTACTCCTGGCAGGATTACATGAACATTGATACACCCAATTC